GCGGTATGGTACGGGTCCGTCACTTCTGATTGTCCGTCTACATGCTGTCTTGAACGAATTCTTGCGAAGAGATGCAAAGTTTTGTGAGTGCACTGGTAGTTGCGCCATCCGCTAATTTCGTCAAGAGACAGAAGCCTAATGACTCCCTCCACTGCGCGGAAGTGGAAACCCTACCGCCTACCCAGTGTTGCAATGTTTTAAACAGAGTCTGGGCCCAGGAATTGGGACCTGGCGGCTCAAAGCAGCTCCTGTGAGAAAAGGGAGAGGACCATGGCGTAGAAGGAGGCACAAACCTTTACTGTTCAGAAAAGGGCCCGGTTGGAACCTCTGGCACAGCAGTTGCGCCCCAAGCCTGTTCGAAACCTCTCATTCAGCGCGGCCGCTTGAGCACTTGTGGCGGCTACTACTACTACTACTGCTACTGCTACTACTACTACTACTACTGCTACTACTACTACTACTACTACTACTACTGACTACTACTGACTACCACTACTACTACTACTACTACTACTACTACTACTACTACTACTACTACTACTACTACTACTACTACTACTACTACTACTACCCCTATTACTCTCCTCCTCCTGATGCTGCCGCTGCCGGCCTTTCAACAGAGGCTAAGCGGCCTGAGATCTGACACAATCATGAACACAGGCTGTGGCAGGCGGCACGAGGGGACTGCCGATGCGAATATCGCAGGTACCTCCTTCATCCGTTTTTGGAGCAACGCCAGTGGCATGTTTTGTTCCGAGGCCTCGTGCTGGCCACCAACCGTGAAGTAAAACGAAACACAGAAGCCGCAAAAAACAAGGATAAGAAGAGAACGAATCCTGATCTCCAAGGCCAATCAGCCCCTTGGAAAAGAGCTGCCTATGGCTTGAGTGGTTGCTTCACTGGACAAGTCACTTGACTGTCTTCGCAACCTCCGTCACCCTGTGAGTCCTTGTGAGTCAGTCGCATCCAATACTAACGAACTGGCAGCCGGTGGGTCGTACTTAGAAGAGCCGTCTCCAGAGTTCCCGTCTAGTGGCGTCCCACACAAGGTTACTCCGGACTGCCAGCGATGGGCCGTAAGGATGGCTGCTCGTTGACCAAAGCACATAAGCCGTCACTCCTAGCACTGCCTGACCTCGTCGGGAGCAGGACAGTAACGAACACAACTGGGAGGACCGTAGCCCAAGCCCGCCACCCATGGCACAGCAAGCGCGTCCGCTTTGCGACTGTACCCATATGTGACGTGGAGCCGTACCAGCTCGCTGTTGCGGCGAAATAGCGGGTGGCGCTGATGCTTACGGACATGAATGACACTCTTTTGCCGACTGGAGGCTCTAGCACAGCGAAGCCGCAAAGAAGCAACACAGTCGCGGAGAGGCAAATTGACCGAGGAGGACAGGTCCTCGCTCTATTATTGCTGAGGCGAATGAGCAATTGCCCACCTCAGGCAAGGCGACAGTTGCAGGCACAGCCTGACAAACCGCCATGTGGCGCGGCACAGCCTCCTGCCGCGTTGGACAACAAAGACGCAATGTCGGGATCCTTTCGTGGAGCACTGGGTGGTTAAACAAGTGCCAAAGAGTGACTTGCTGGTCAGCATTGAAGTTCTCAACCCTTCGGTGGCTTCCACTTTGGTACGGCTCCACGTGCGTCACTTCAGCTTCGCCTGAGCTGAAGCCTGGAGCTAGGTGCCCTGAGCCGACCTACACAGCAGGAGGACGCGACGCCGTCGCGGCAAGACAGACTGACCCAGCATGACCCAGCACTCTGAAGTGACTCTCCCCACCGAGCGGAAGGTGGAAACCCTACCGCTTGCCCAGAAAGCAATGCCGTGACAGTAACTGGGCCCAGGCATTGGGACCTGGCAGATCGGAATGGCACCTGGAATGAAACTGGGAGGCACATGGCTCAGCGAAAGGCGCAATCCCTGTATGTTCGAAAAGGAGCCCGGTCGGGACCTTTAGCACCGAAGTTGCGCCCAGAGTCTGTTCGAAAGCCACTCCAGCAGCGCGACTACTATTTTTTCTTCTACTACTGCTACTACTAGCAACACAACAACGGTTACCGCAACAACAATTACCACTGCATGCTACGACTACTACGACTACTACTACTACTACTCCTACTACTACTGCTGCTGCTACTTCCAATCCATGCGGTATTTGCCAAAACGACCATAGGAATCCCAGTGATAGCCGTTTCCATTTGTTTCAGTACAAGGAGTAGTCAGGCAAAGGACATGTTGTTTACACCCATGATCTCATTGGCTGTGCCAGCCTAGCCTGTTTCCTGTTGGACATACGAACAGCACCCATTTGTTCTAATCAATCCTTGGAAGATCCGAAGTCGTCCAAGTGATCAATCTATCTCACCGAGACCCAGCCAACTGGCGAGGTCAAGAAGTGGACTCGCAACAAGCACGCCATCATGTTCCAGCTCAGTAACAAGACTGTTCAGGTCGCCGACTAAGCAGTGCAAGCCCCCTGCTCCATGGCTCCGATCTCCGTCCTTTCACTTGCCACTTAATTGCTCGCCCAGGTTATCTTCTTTGATAAGACGGAGGCAGTGCTGTCATCGCGGTCCCATCTCGTGACCTACGTTGACAAAAAGGGCCAGGCAGCGACTTCAACTTCCAGTGGCAAGATATCCTGCTGAGTTTGGGAAATCAGAAGCCGCCTCATTCCGCTCAGAAATACTAGCAATGTTTCGCTCGATAGATTGCGTCAGCAGATCCGATGTTGTGCTTCAGTGAACTTGGCAAAGTTGGCACATCGATTAAGGGAATAGAGGGTGACTACAGGGAATAGAGGGTGACTACTGCTGGGATACCCTGTGCCTCAGAGAGGTTCCAACTTTCTGGTTTCTAACTTGGACTCTGCTTAAGACGCAGCAAGAAAAGCTAGGTTGAATATGGAAGTATCAGCAAGTGCAGGACTTGCTCATGTCATGAAGCCGTCATCATCAAGGTTTGTGAAACAGCGCAAGGACTGCTCCCACTGTCGCGAGGTTAAAGTAGAACAAAGCACAAGCTGCAGCAGGAAGTGGTACCTGAAGATTTCGCTTGCTTGGAGTCGCTTGAGCCAGCTGCGCATGGACAGGTCCAAGCCTATCCTCTAACGAATGTCTTGGACGTTCCTAGCGCAGAGCTTGCCAAGCGCCTTCGGTACACCAAGGACAGGACCAGTGCAAATCATATCGTTTGCTTAAAGTAGACGACGCCCACAACAAGAGCAAAAACGGCGGAAGGACATCCTGGTCAATCTTCTTGGTTCTCGACTTCCTTCTGGATTTCCTGGCTTGCTCTCGGCAGGGATGCACTGACATGTCACTCGGCATGAACGAGCACCTTGCTCCCTTCTCTTTATGGCTGTGAGGGAGGCCGTGCTGTTCAAAGTGGATGTGTGATGATCCCGTGGCTTTCCTCCCGAACAGAACACTGCAAGCTTCTGCGAGGTACCTGAATCCACGAATTTGACAGGCATGTCCTTACTGAGCAACACATGCGGCGCCGCCGGCGTCAGTTGGTTCCCGCGGTACAGGGTGATTCTACGGCGTGCAGATACACCATGCGTGATGAAAGCCTGTGCCAGGACACCTCAGCGCGAGATGATTGAAGACCGCATCCTTCTTCTTTTGGACAAACACAGGTCTCTAGGTTGACAATGCTAGCAACATGGTTGCACACGCCCTTCTGGTGTGAGGGCCCTATCACCTGTAATTTGAAGAAGCACTTAGTTGCTCTTTTCTCCATATAGCATCGTGGACGGACACGCAACAGGCAAACCTAGGGTTGTAATGAGAACAGATATATGTCATTGTGAGAAGAGGAGCTGGGCATGCTGCAATGCTTGCAGGAAATTCGAGAAAATGGATCGGCTGTGTTCTTCCTGAGTTATTTGCTTTCTGGAGTCTTCACCGGTTTTCAGTCGGGTGACAGTTTCGACAAGGTTGCTTGTGCTGCGTGTCCGTTGGATCAGGATGATAGTCGGCATCTAGCATCTAGAAGTGTTTCATTCGATTGCAGCGGGTGAAGCAAGATACATCCAGAGAACATATCGAACTCAAAAACTCCTGCGACATAAAGCTGATGGCTCACTGAAAGGATCCACTTCAAGAGCGGGAGCAAATGTTGGGGTGCTGCATTTCTTGTCATGGCATTTTACCGGGGACCCGGAAGGCAGGCGTTTTGCTGGAGGAGCTGACTCTACGGAGATTACGGGGTTGCCCTCTGGCACAATGGTGCCTTCACATAAACCGTTTCGGCTCCTTCCGGGAAAACTGGAATCCAGATCCGACTGCACTTGCCTGGACACACGAAGCGGCGACCTCAGAGGGATCCTGCACATCGCGCTGAATCCATCCTTTGGACAGTACCAAGGACCGCGAATCCAAGCATGTCGGAGGCGCCTATTCGGCGCTTCTAATGTTGCTAAACGAAGATCTTGCTGCTCATGTTGCCATCTCTGCCATATTCTCCACTTCATTGTCGAAGTCCAACTATGCCCAACAGGCACAATGTCGGGTTTCGAAAAGCTTGCACAGGAAGCCGCAAGTCATCGCGGACTCAAAGCCCCCGAATCATTCCCGAATCCCGATCGACTGCGCAGCTGAAGGATGCTGGCGGCCGGCATTCCCTTCTGCCGGTCCACAAATGACATGAGCAACTGGACGATCTGTGTCGGAACGAGGTCTCAGCTCAGTGCGCAACACAATCCGACGGCAAGCAAAGCCCGGCACGACACACCCTGGATGGCCAGCAACGTTAGTCGTCCGCCCGAACACCAGGTTTCGATTCAAGAGGAGCAGATGGAAGCCATCTGATTCAGAACCGTTCGTTCTGAGCAGGTTGAAGAAACCCTGAACCGCATCAAGACCCACAAGGGTGTCTCAGGCCATGTTGACCGTGTATGTTCGAAGCGTCTTTTGGGACTCTCAGAGCGACCGGGTGCAGCCTTACCCTTACGCGAGGCATTGTCATCGTGAACAGCGAAGGAGTCCCGATGCGATCGACGTGCTGCAGCTAAGTAGCCTGTGCTGATTGCTTCCAGTGCCACTGAATGGTGCAACCTGGAGCTTCGCCAAGGCTGGACAGCAAGCAAACATTGCAGTACTCGGCGCTGATCTCTCAGCTTGCCGCAAAGGATCGGTCGGGTTGGTCTAGCAGACTCGTGCCGACTCCGGTGTTGGTTGTATCGTGCTTACCTATCAATGCAGCAGGCACGAAGCGTGGTGAGAGAACTGGCACGCAACTCAGTCAATGGCAGTTGCAGTCAATAGAGTTGATGCTTCAAGTACCTGCCACAAGGACCCGCAGAATGATTTGACCTTTCTCAGGACGCCCCATCGTTGTTCGAGTTTACTCAGTTTACGCTGTGCATCGTTCTTGCAAAGCTACTGTCGCGTGTAGGGCGTTTGACCACGAGGATCCGTTCCAAGAAGCATGAGATCATGGTCGCACCGGATCGAGCCCGCGGCTTACGTTCAGCTGTTGCTCATCTGCCAGATACCCTTCCTATTCATTCACTACTGGAGTATCGCAGACCGTCTTGCCTGAGGATCCCCGCATGTCGGTTGAGACGGATTGAAATCAGAAATCGTCGTAAGCATCGACACTTCAATGCCTCGATCGAGCCAAAGCCAACCAGCAAGCGATGTTATGGATCGCCCTTTGTTCCGGGGGGGGGGCGGAGGCTCTGGATTGTCAGGATGTTCCAGAATCCTGAACATGTTCGTTCTAGGTTCTGCCAGGCCTTTGATGTCTCACATTTCTTGCAGAGCACTTCGAATGTCGCACACTTCGAAGCGGGAGAGAGCGGCGAAGCCAACTCGTGTCTCCCGCAAGGCAGGTGCCTGGTAGCCCGAGTGGCTGCGCTAGTGACCTTTTCCGGGCCAACAGGGATCCAACCAAATCGTCAAAACGTGGTCTTGCCCCTTCTCGCTAGCATTGCTTATCTTTAGCAGGTGTTGGTGGGTTGATCGTGAGTGGCTTGATCTACCACTTTCCGACTGTGACCGGCAGTGTCGAGCCCACCCGGTGCCAAGTGGTTCTTGCTGATGGCATTGCACCAGGAGGCAGAAGATGCAGCAGGGAGGCACGCAATCCACTAACAGTTCATGTGGGATCAACAACACTTGAAGCAAAAGCAGTTGCGTAGTTAGCGGTCGTTTTGTTGCTGGTTCTCGTTTGTGGCAGCCTTTGGCGCTCTGGTTTCTGCACATCGGTGATGCAGGCTACATGCGCAAGAAACTCCGTCCGTTTTTGAAGTCTCCGCCAATCATATTGTACAGCTGCCGTAAGTCTGTAGTAGCATGCACGGTCTGAGGTCTCTTCACCCATGCAGTTTGCAAAGTGGAGTGATTTAAGCGTAAGTCCGTGTTGTCACCAACCGAAAATTTTGCAGCGAACATGGAAGCTAACTACCTGCAGCCCATGTGTGGAGCAGGCTGAGGTTTCCTCAGCCATGTAGGTTGCACAGCTCAATGCTTAACCGAGTCGGCTGCCTGTTTAGAATATGTTAAGCGCTGGGCAGTGGAACTCACTGCTGTATACTGCTGTTGAATGTGCTTCAAGTTGTTTCTGTGCATACTGCATGTCTATTGTCTTGGTTAGTACGAGCGAGGAAGCCAAGGCAATAGTGGGTTTTCGTGCTTTTTGAATTGATATTCTCGGCTGATTGTTACGGCATCGGAGCATCACAGCTTCCTCCTTGCTGAAATCGTTTAGCGGAAATGCATCTCGGAGTGGATGCGCCGAAGCACTATCCTGGAGCACACACACAAGGTTTGACATACACAATGTAGAGTCGAGCGAGCAGCAGAAGGGGACAAGTGAAAAGGATTGCGACTGCTCTGACGCTGTTAACAGCCTAGAACGTGCCGGAATGCAAGGCAAGGGAGGTTCTGTGGACAGCGTTTGTTTGGCTTCGGGGATGGGGAGGTTCAAGCTTTCGGGACTTTGCGGAACCAATCCAAAGTTTTCATGGTCACGCGACGCCCCAAAACGCTTAAACACCAGGGCCATGCTTTCTTGGAGCATTACCTTGAATTTTCATTCCCGCATCGCAAGGCTCGAAATACGCATGTGCGCTAAGGGCGGGCGGTTATAGGAAGGCAGAGGGAGGGAGGGCAGAAGAAAAGGGGTGGAGGGGTAGCAAAACCATGCGAAACAAGAACATCGCATCCAAAATGCTTCAACAACAACGGCGCTGGGAGGTGGGAAAGCAGAGGCAGGGCTTAATAGTTGTTGCCGTGAACTGAAACCTTTGCAAGCATTGGACAGACAACGAAACAGAGCTGCATGCGGTGCATTCGCTGAGCTTTAAGCAGCTCGCACTGGTGGCTTACACGGTTGGCTTACACTGGCCTGCCCGATGGTTACACTGCCAAGGACTACATTTTGATCGTCATCCAAGACCCGAATGCTGATCAAGGAAGCTGAAATTGAAAGGCCAGTGGAACAGCGGCTGTGCGATGCTGCTTGAATGGCATAGTCAAATGAGATCATCATCAATACATTGCTGGACCTTGTGTCCTTGTGTTCCGGCGTGCCTTCGTCCAATGTGTTGCAGGCTTAAATCCTGAGCGGTTCTTGCCAGAGCTGACCTTGCCAGGCAGCATGCGTCGTGATTGTTTCACCCAAAGAGCAGCACTATCCGGAACAGTGCATGCGGCCAGCTGGCCGGTCTCAAGGATAGTTTGTACTCACACAATCTCACACATACTCAAACTATTTCGGTCGCTGCAGAATTCGCTGAAGTGCCTTGCATGACCGTGATGTGCAAGGTCCTCAAATCTGCTTTCTGTGAACGGAGGTGTCGATGATGTCTTCTGCTGCAAACTCCGCATGTGGTGCTTCTGTTTCCGCTGCAACTGCAGCTCCTGAGACATGTCCTCCACGTCCGTCGTCATAAGAAATGTGACAAGACATCTAGGCATCCGCAAATGATATCGCGCAACCGAGCGCCGGTCCAATCATTTAAACACAGAAATGCAGATCCTTGAAGCGAACAGGTGAAACAGCTGGCCACGACTCTTTCCTTACTTACTTAAAGTATCCGAGAGTGAACCAGGTTGAACCAGCAGAGAATGAGTTAGCCGGAGCGATGGGCATCACATCCAGCAGCGAGGATGGAGGCAGACCGTCGGTCCGTGAGGGAATCGCACTGCATGATTGGCTGTGATCCCGAAACCTTAGGAGATTTCCTTGACCAGACGTTTGCCTTGATACCATTATCAGTTGTCCGAAGATCAACCAGTGTTCATTGAGACATCCAGAAGCCTGCCGTGGCTGAAGTGTGTAAGGGTGGCTTGGCAGTATGTGCAAGTTCGGCTACGCGGCTGCACACGGCTGCATCAAATTGCATGGGCATGTTCGTAGCGTCAAGACTTGTGGCACCACAGCCTTGTAGTGCCGGGAGTGCAGATGCAGAGGCAGTGCAAATTTGATTCTTCGACTGGGGACGTCGATTCAAGAAGCGCTGAGGCTTGAGGGCTCATGAAACTCTTCTTGCTCCGTTGGGGGAAGTGTTGCATTGCAGGATGAAGGGGTGTGATCGGGTTAATGATCCGTGCGCAGGCCATCGAAGCAGCAGATCATGCAGGACTGCGGCAGCGGAGTAGCTAGCAGTGGAGTTCACAGTTGACTGGTGCCGAAGCCTGAGAAGTCGCCGATGTCGCCAATGTTCCGCACACAGGCTTGGGAAGAAGAGGACGCAGAGCGAAGCGGCCACTTGTCCAGGTGGAGCTGCATCTCGCTCGGAAGCGGCCCACATCGCAACCAAGGGCACTGGAGTCCTTCAGAACTCGGTGAAGCCCTCGCCTTCGGATACATAGTTTCCTTGACACATGGATTAGATAGAACTTCATCACTGGCGTTTGACTTAGTTATCTACTCAGCACCTGGTGCTACGCGGTGCCCACCAAGTGTGCTCGTGGTGAAATCCGCCAAGTGCTGCACTTTATCCCAAATTGTAGATGCCGCGATCGCGAAGCCGACAATGTTTGACATGCTGCCTTGTTTTGCTGCAATATCGCCATGGCAGCACAGGATTACCCACAAGCGCTCTTCGAGAAGTTCCGACAATTAGCCCGAACAATAGCCCGTACACACTGCCGTATTTCCAGAGTGCGTTGTAAAAGCAAGCCGGCAACAGGTTCAACAGATTCTGGTATCCAGCTGCCACGCCTACTTGAATGTTCGATTCTGTGGCATTGCCCCCACCGCGATACAAAGATACTCAAACACCCTACTTGGTTCGTAGTGCCGATCAGATGTAAGTCAAGCATAGTCAAGCATGGCACTTCGGCTGCATTATACAATAGCTGGTTGTGGTCCAACTCTCGTTCGAAAGCAAAACAAAACAAAGCAACACATATGGGAAAGTTAAGTGTCGGAAGATCAGCTTAGTTCCTGCTTGCCGGATGCCTGCGACAGGACGCGTGTTCAGCGTGTGGTCACTCGGCTTCTGGAAGCTCAATTGGAGGCTGTCGTGGGTCAGGAATGGTCAGGAAGGAAGCTCTCTCGCCGAAGCATATTATGCAGTCCGCGTGCGAGAGGATGCTGCAAGACGTACATTTCTGGTGTTTTCTCGTATTTTCCCGTCGTTTCCCTTTCTAAGCGGTCTAAAGGGAGATCAGGCCGAAGGGCTGAGCTGGTGCGAGCCGCGTCAGGCAGCGAGTGCGGCAGCCTCCCGGGCCAAGCTTCAAGTAGCAAAGGAGCAGGCTGCATTGTTTGTGTGAACAGAAACAGATGCAGAGGAGGAGGGGGTTTATCTACGCTCCAGATGTCTGCACAGGCGAACATGGAAAAGGCAGGCAGGCGGGAAAGAGCCGAATCCCCGATGCCGCATGCGATGCGATCAATGTCATCAACATCCGTCAATAGCTGCTCCGTAGCTTCCGCAGCTGGTAGGCCCGAGCTGAGGCGGAGATGCGATCGCTGCCACCAGGAGGAGCAACGCAGGAGCTTCGCACAGATGGACCAGCCTCCAGTAGACTAAAAAGTATACGCTCATGCTTTGGCTTGGCCGTCGCGGCTCTTGGATCGAACAGGAACACCTGGACCGATGCACGGCCTTGATGCTAGGCTGTGCAGCAGGCCAGCGACCAGTTTCCGCTGAAACTCTCACGTGGTACAGTGATGTACAGTGCAGGTCCTGTCATGGCGGGCATGATGGCCGGGTATGTGGACGTACCGGTCACTTGCTTGACAGCAATGCTGCAAGACAAGGAACAGCCAGGGCATGTAGCGCTTCAAGTGTTCAATTTTGACGCTACAGTGTTGACATAAATGATCTTGTGATCGGTAGTGATCTCGAGCTTGCACACGTTCATGCCGTTCGAAGCCAGCCACACAAGCATCGACACACGGCAACTATAGAGTAAAGGCATCGTCCTTCTCAGAACTTTCAAGCAGCACAAGCAGCAGCGGCAACAGCAGCGGCATCGTCGTCACGGACACCCTCATCGTCGTCTTGTTGAGTAGCATCGCTGCCGTGAGCTTTGTAAGCTTGTCGGTGGAAGGCCGACAGCACCCCACATCATCCATGAAGGGACAGCATTTGAACAAGTCACACCAGCAAGCCAGGGCGACAAGAGCGGCCTTGACAAAGCACAGCAGGCGACAATCAATGGCTTCCCGACCATTTTACTACAGTTTACGAAAGGAGGCGGGGGATCGACTTTGGTGGATGAGTGTTGTTGTGGCTTTGTCAAAAGCCCCGGTGGAATGGACGATGCGGAGTGGCTTTGGTTTGGAGGTTGTGGGCATCGTGTTCGGGATCAAAGGTCAAGTTTGCAGGGCTTCTTCCAATTCCGAGAGATGTGCCGGGCGACCTGCACTGAGCGGGATGAGTAGCCGGCATCTCGAGGACGGAACATGACGGAACCCTACTTTGAAATTGTCCATTGACACCGCGAGTGGCCAAATGGGAATCTTGCACACTGTAAACTGTCGAAGG